AAGCGAGAGGATTTTAAAAGCTAAAGTATTTTATCATCAAGTGCATACCTTAACCAAATGTCAAGTAGCCTGTCATCCTTTCCCTGGTCTTTGTAATTCGACAACATTTGGCATTTTTAATGGAGACTCTGTGAATCCCCAGGATCTGAGAGAGCTTTACTCCATTTCCCAGGGTGAGGGCTCGGTGCCGACATGAGTTGAATGCTGCTTCCCAAGCGGCTCCCTGAGAAAGCACCTGGACTACTTAATGAAGACGCCCACACACAAACAACCAATTGACGACAATACTTTGGAGCATTTCAGCTAGGGCTCTGTCTGCCTGCAATGACAATAATAACCAGAAACAGAGGCACAAAGGGGGAGAAAAAAAAAGTCAAAAGTGTGAATATTAATGCTACGCTTTGCAAAGATATACGTCCTGGCAACAATATCAGAAACATCCAAGCCAATTAATTAGGGAACAAGACTTGACCTTCAAGGTGAATGTGTTGCAGTTTTGTTCGAAGGAAACAAGGACAAATTCTCTCATGTGAGATTAAGAGAACAACTGTGAGAATTAATGGCTTTTTAAAAACGGATGACAGCAGAAAACAAGTATATAAAGGTGGGAAAAAGCAGTGGACCAAAACTTTTAAGTGGAACATGTGGAGGACATACCTGAAAGCTGTTAAAACAAATAAGGTCTTAGGGCCTCTAAGGGGCACCTTTATGAATTTCCCGGACATCTAGTGCCACTTTGTACCACAATCTACCTTCAGAAGTTATAAAAATACTAAATATGTATATATTAAATATGACTTGAAAGAAATCCAACGTCGCAGTTTAACGCTTTGAAATTGAACCTCTGTCACTTTAAGAAGCTCCTGCTCTTTCCGACATTCTAACCCTAACCCTCCATTAAGCCTTTAACTAAATGTTTTCAGGAGCGATTCCACTGAGAAGTAGTTTGCACGATGAGTTCAGGAGATGCGTAGTTCCACCAGGTATTTGCAAATTGCTGCTGTTGGAGACTAAAGGATTTCTCAAACATTCATGAAAGAATCAAACAACACTTCAGGTATATGTTTGATGAAGGAATAACATAACATTATGTTAAGCTCAAAAAAGTTGATTTTAAATAACACTGAACCTTTAACTCACTCACAGACCAAGGCTGTTGTAATTCGCCTCATCAACTAGTGCACAAATATAAAAATTTGGGCTGATAGATATTAATATTGTCATTATGACCATTATGTCATTATTGGTTTTAAACATTTCCCTACACATTCACCACTATGAAAAAAAAAAAATCACTCAGTTGAGATTGTTTCTCTACTTCATTTAAACTCCCCACAATCCTGAATCACTATGACATGACCAAAGAAAAATCACATGGCCAACCCTCTCCTGAAACACAACAAGGCAACAAGGTGGACATAAATACTGGCCCAGCTTTACTTATCAGGCATTCCCGATGTTAATGCCTGTACATCATGCATCCCTATTGTAAATGTCATCAGTGTGTATCACTGACTGATATGACAGACTGCTTGGTTTACGTTCTGCAGACAAACGTAAACCAAGCAAGTCACTCAGAGCATGTGGGCTTGTTTGTGGATATAATTTGCAGTATGTGTGTAATATATTTTATATGAATAGTAAATACAGACAGCAATAAATAAAACAATGAATAACTCCCAAGTAAAAAACTCAATCCTTATGCTGTGTGTGAAACTAAGTCTATTTAAAAACCAAGTCATGGCTCTTCTCCTGATTTAAAATCAGTTAAAGAAGCAACTAACATTAGCTTCCGCACTTTTCCTCGACACCAAGGTGACAAAACAAGGTAACAGTAGAGGGAAAAACAGAGACGTTGACATTTTCTATCAGGAGAGATGTCACTCCATCTCTTGCTGCTATTTTGTCATCGTTGCACAGATGCTCAGATTGTTTTTCTTTTCAACATGAATAATGCATATTTCTATATATGTTTATAGAAACAGAAAGGCCTAAACACTTCACTTTTTCTTTGTATGGGCTTTGCATGTAGCATTGTTTACTTTATATTTTGTTACTCAGAGGCCAAACCTGCCAAAAATACTGATCGTCAAAATAATGGTAATAAAAAAAGTATACCATTTTTAATTCTTTTACTTTAATAAGTGTCATCATGTGCATGTAAGTCAATGGGTCCATGAGGTCATCGGTGCCTTCATGACAGGTAAGGGGTAAATTAATAAAAATTTGTTAAATCTAAGTAAATGACATGTGATTATTTCAGAATTAACTTCATGCTTTCATTTTCTGCATGAAATGCTCATTTTACATCCATTTCAGAACAATCATTTTAACATAGCCCCGCCCTGTCCCATATTTATTTAGGGCACTTAGTGGTAAATTGGGGTAGATTTACCACAATGACAAAAATTGATAATTAGGAAACTAGGAAGAATCTCATTCACATATCCACTTCAAGCGCTTTGAATCATCTACATTTTGAGTTACATAAAGAAATCAATTAAATAATAAATGCATTAATTAATTAATGATGCATAGCCATACTTATTTCTATATAAAGATAACAATTCAAAGTTTGAAAAGAAACAAGAATATTACCGAAGTCTTCTATCAACTTACCATTACTTCTTTGCTGACATTTATGAGGAGCAAAGAAACAAAAGGTTTTACAGTTAAATTGTGAGATGTCGGTTTGAGGCTTCTAGATTCCAAACTGATGTTTTCATGCATCTTTATGAAACCTGACAGAACTTAAAAACTAATTTTGTAAGCTATTGATTTTTATGCCAGCATAGAGTTATAATGAAACCCTCAAAACGCCTGCACATTAATAAGAGAGATCAATCAGGTGCATTGCCCATGCTCAGCTATAATGTATGTTTGAACAAAAATCAATACTTCCAGACATGTAAAAGGATGTAGTAGTTTTCTGCTTTTACTCATCACCATTTATCACACAAACACACACAAACTACCCACACCACTAAACGCATCATGAAGGGACCGGTTCTGCAAACAGGCTCTGCCGCCGCTTTTATTATACGGCACCACGTCTCCGTATGTGACAACTGCAAATGTGTCGGTACATTTGCGCATCTAATTTCACGTGTTTTGCACTTGAGGAGATGTAGATTTAAATGAGCGTGCATGATGGCGCCCATTGTGTACTGTAACGCAGATGAAAAGATGACAGGTGGTGGGAGGGCGGCGGATCTTTTGAGACTTGTCACGTTGTTCCGGTTTACCAGCCAATGACAGGAGACACACACGCATCCACATCAAAGTTTATTACAGTTCATCACCTCCCCACCTGCAGTGTAATGACATTTAGCCAATCCTATAAAAATCCCAGGAAACCTGTGGGTATAAATCAATGCCTTCCCACCTTTCCAACTGCTGTGCGCATTTATTATTAAAGCCTCCACATGATTTTTTGATCGAGCGCGCCTGCTCTTATGACACGTATGTGTATGTTTGTTTTCTGTTTAATTTGGCTTGGAGGCAGAAAACGAGCAGACATACAGAGACAGTCCTCACATAAACACAGACAAGCATCAGGCAGTGCAGTAACAACCTCCATCCCAGCTTCACGGAAAAAGGGATCAGTGTGTATCTGTGCTGACAAGCAGTTTAGCTAAAATCCCATTCGTTTCATCTAAACAACTCGGCTAAAGAGTAGGGTCTGCTGCAACCTAGAAGAGGGGCTACAGAAGCCCCACCTGTCTGGGACTGCGGTTTGCAATGTCTTTTTCCACTCTCCACATCTGGCAATCTCATGTTTCCATTGCTCCCACAAGGCAGCTTCCAGTCTAATCTTATACAGGTGCACAGTTAAAATAGCGTCCAATATATGGTGTAATCACAGAGGCAGATTTGCTTCTGTGTCATGGCGAGTGTGGAAGCTTGCATGCGTGCCTATTGTGGGAATTGAAGACTCTGCTGTGTGCTTGTTAATGCAGTCAGTGACTACCCTCTGCAGGCAGTTGGAGTGAATGCCACAATGGAGTGGAGAGAGCAGCAAACGTGGAGTCGAAATGAGTCGAGATTTCAACAGGAAATGATGCTGGAGGTTTAAATGCTGCAGAAAAATTGCATCCCAAATAAAGACATAAATAAATAAATTTATGCATGATTGTTTTCGGTTCATTTTGACTATTAATGTTTTAAATTTCGGTGCTGAGTGGGTACACATTTCATTTTAGAACCAATGATGATGCCACTGATGAGCTCCATGCTGCTTTTTGACAACTTACCAAAAGTCATTATTGATAATGAGCCATCACGAGGCGCAAAAACATTATCAAAGGGGAAATATGTTTTTTATTGTGGCAATGCTGCACATGTTTATGCTGATAAGCAGAAAATTGTTTTCATGTGTAAATTCAGACCGTTTTCCACTTACTGTAGATTCTAATGTACAGTAAACATTACATCTTTTAGTGCTTGCACACATTCTAAATTTCTATGATCCACGAAAGAGTTCACTGCTGTGATTGCAGGTTGTTCAATATGATCATTAAAGAAGCAAACATTTGACAGAATGAAGGAAAGACTGCACAATAAAACCGTCAACAAACACAGAAAGCAAACATATCAATACCATTATGGATGTGTGGAAACGACATGCATTTCCATCTCTGAAGACCGGAGGTACATCAAGCTCTATTCCCAGTAGGTCAAACTGAAACAACTGAAGTACTTCATTGCTGCACATCAAAAGCAATCCACCATAAATTAGCTGCTGAAAGACAACAGACAGTTTCCTATTGAGGTAAATGTGCTCATGTTAAAAACATTTCCTGCACTACAATCCTGCAGAGGCATCACCACTCACTGGACTTTTTTTTTTTCTGTTCTATTTCTTGCCAATCACAATGATGTAACTCAATGCCTTCGGGTGCCGACTGCAGACGTTGTAAGGATCCCCTGCTGAGGTGTAGACTGAGTATTAGAATAAAGAAAAAAGGGAATTCAAGTGACTGAATGTGGGCCTGATTCAATTCAAAAGTATGTTATCCATAGTAACGCCTCAGCCAAAAGAATGATGAAGAAAAGTTTATCAAAAGGACAAATCAGAACTAGTGCAGCAGAACTACACCAACATGCTGCAACCTGAGCAGCGATATTTTAAGTGGCTGGTGCCAGATAATTGTTTTGTAAAAATGTCAGATCTACTGGAATTTTCCCACACAACTAACTCAGATTTACAGAGGGCTGTTTGAAAACATCCAGTCATGTTAACAACGATACCTTGTTGATGTCAGAGGTCATACGAGCAAAGGCACGCTGGTTGAGGATGACGGATGAACACTGAGCGAGTGAAACCCTAAAGATGGGCTACAGGAGCAGAAGGCAACACAACATGCAACTAAAAATAGGGGGAAAAAATCTGTGATTGAACAACAAAAGAGTCTCTCATCAGTCAGATGGTCAGAATTTTAAACAAAAACAAAAACATTGATTCCCCCCGCCGTGCAACAACACCCCGGGTTGGTGGTGGCAGTGTGATGGCATGGAGGGAATTTTCTTATCACACTTTGAGCATTTTTTTCAGACACCACAGCCTTTGTAAGTATCAGCACCAACCATTTTGCCTTCTTTGTGACCACAGCGTACACATCTTCTGATGGCTACTTTCAGTAGGATGAAGTCAACACAATGAGTTCACAGATGTCAAGCATGAGGACCTTCGAGCAAAGATTGATAAAATGGGTGAGCAGAAGACAAATTTGCATTCTGTTGAATCTATGTCAAAATGTTAAGGCAGTTCTGAAGGCAGAAGAAGGTTCACCCTCGTACTAAAAGAGGTTTTACTATATACTATATTTTTCTTAAGAAGCTCAGTTTGTGTTAAGAAACACTTCCAAACATGGAATATACTTTATTTTCTTCTCCCTGATAAAACTACACACACTCGTCCGTCTCACAGCCGGATTTGTCCACAGCTCTGCATCTGAACACATGTTAACTACGGAGGTCAGCTGGATGCTGTGGGTCTCTCTGCTCTGTTAAAAAGAAGAATCAGCTTATTAAAAAGTGAACTCAAGAAGAGGCATTCATGCTCCACCCCCCACTGCACACCAACATTTCACTAAACTAATTAGCAACTTGGGCCAGAAGTCGTTGTCAATGAGGGGAAACAACATATTTCACCCCGTCAGCTTCTACCAGTGGCCTCGGCTGACCTTTTGATACTCCATTAGAGTGTACACCCAAAGGTGTCAAAGTGAGACGTTTTCCAGCCTCCCTGTGACAACATCTGCAGCCGCTTGTTTTCGACTGTGGAACGCACCGCTCAGACGGCTTTCATCTTGCCAATTTTATGATCACACCTTAGCGCTGATGAGTACAATCATTTGACATGCAAATGGCAATTACTATAGATTCACTTCAGCCGACACTCGACGGCACTCGCTTTTCATCCTCCTAGTTTTCTGTAATCACAACCGAGGATGGCGCTTCTGCTAGACATGAAGTTGTGATCCAAAAAAAAAAAAAAGAAAGAAAGAAAAAACGAAGATGGGGTGGGAAAGACTCCGAAGGTTACCGGATATTTTTTGGTGCATCTCCTTAAAAATGCAGCTAACTGATTACTAACCCTGCACTGTCGTCTGACTTGGCAGGCTAGACCTTTGATTGGAAGAGAGACTGCCACAATCACAAGTGTATGATTATGGCATTAGGCCGGATTCTTCACATCAGAATTTGCAATCAAGAAATTGGTGTCGGGGATCGATACGGCGCAGCACCTCATCTGATGGCGGAGGGAGACGCGGAGATGCGTGCAGGAGAAGGAGTCTTGCGATCAATTAGGAAGCGGCTGGCACATACAGACATTACTTTTAATCTTCTAATGCATCTGCACAAAGACCTGGGGCTGAGCGTTTGTTGGCTTCTAAGAGGAAGGAATCGATCCTTTTTGCACGTCTCGACGCCAGTTTGTCCTGGGCCGTTTCAGCAGCGTTTAAAACATAATGAAAGGAGGGAGTCTAAATCCGCTTACCTTCACCTAAGTGAAGAAACTGTATTTGCTGTCACACTTTGGGTGAGACTGAAACATTTTAATCCTTTGAAATAGTTTCTAATACATCTGAATTCCTAGTTAATCTCTCCGATGTGCTGTGGTCTACTGCAGAGCTGGAAGCTCACCTGCTGTGATGACATCCTGTTTTATCAGGCTGATATTTCAGGCACACAAAGGAAGGAAGACTTGACTGTTTCATAATCAGATGTAAGGGTGATAGAAATTTGAAATACGTGCAAAGACATTATTTGCTGACAAACTGCAGCAGAGTGGGTGCGATCGTTTAACTTTAAAATCCAAACTGCTGTGACTAGATTCCTGCTGCAACTGTGGTGAAAATGTGAGTTTGTGTGTTGCATACAGTCCTTATCAGTGTAGTCCATGTGGAGTGTGTGGCTCATCCAATTAATCAGACATCATTTAAACCAGCCGGCCTGGTGACAGGGGACCCAATCACTGGTGAAAAAAGTCATTCCCAACATTCCTACTCCAAGTCCGCCGCTCTAATGTGCTGTGGCAACCTCCTAACTATTCAATTCCAGACCCAGACCCCCACAGTTTACACAGTCCCCTAGCTTCTTCCCAGTCCCCCACACTTCACATTCATTAGACCCCACACCTCTATCAAAGGCAGAACGGAGCAAAACTGCTGCTCCATCTCATGTCTGAAACTTGCCTCGAAGGGAGAGGAAAGTGGGAGAGGGAGCGCAGACTGTCTGCAGAGAGAAAAGGGGAAAACGAGCCAGTGATGAGCGAGTGGAGGGAAAACTCAACGTCTTCCTGAGTTTAGCCTGAAAGGGGAGGCTGAAAATGAGCATTTGATCTGAGCAAATGCTTCGTCTCTATGACTTCACTCACCTCCTGTTCTCCTACCTGCAAAGAACCGTTTGGACATTGTAGCCGAATAACTAGAGATGCACCAAGTTTAACATCTCTGACAGCTGGAAGCTCATCAATATGATCTACATCTGATAAATGAATGAAGCTCATCAAAAACAGCATTTGCCAGTGCTGGCTGAGTTTACTGACTGAAGAAGCCTCGAAGGGAGTTGTTTTTATTGTCAGTGATCCATTTAAAATTAAGTTAGAGACATAAGAAACTACAACAAGACTATTCTTTGACGTAATGAAATGGGTTATTTAGGGTGCATTCACACCAGCCCTGTTTAGTGGCTTTAATCAAACTCTAGTTCGCTTGCCTAGAAAGTCCAGTTTGTTTGAGGAGGTGTGAATGCTCTATTGAACTCTGATGTGGACCAAAAACAGCTAACTCTGGTCCACCTAAAAACCTACTAGCTCTCGGCGTGGTTCAAATGCACATGTAAAGGCCAAGTGGAACGGACACTGCCCCAAAAGGGTTTCTGGGTAGAATGCTCAGGAAATATAACCATAATAAATGTGAGTCTAGCGCTAGCGAGAGAAATAGCTGGTTGCTATGCAATTCAGGTTAAAGTGTTACATAAATCAGGGTTGAAAATTGGCCATAATTGCTCTTATTACTACTGAACACAAAGCAAATCACTGCATCTTCATTGCTGTATGCAACTTTTTATGCTTTCTACCAGTGAAAAGTTTTGTATTTGGAGAAAACAACTTATGAACCAACAATCAAAGGTTCTTTTCAGAACAGTACAAGAAGGGCACAACTACAAATCCGGAGTTCAAGGGAAAGGGGTTTGTTTGGCAAAGCTGTAGCCATCCTCCGCTGCGAACTGAATGTAAAGTAACTTGCATAAAAGGAGTTCAAGGTTAAGGGTCTGGCAGGAACATAAAATCCACTTAATGACAAAAAAAATACTTAAGGCATTTGGCAGATAATTTGATGAATTTGTCTTCTACTAGAAAAAGAGAGAAAAACAAAGTGTCACGCTATAAGTTTGCCTTGACTTCAGTCCACAAAACAGCTCAAGAAGTAAATAAAGCGTTACAAGAAAAACTTCTCTGAAGATATAGCTATACATATTCTCATACAGCTGTAGTTTATAGAGTGGGTATGTGTGTGCAGCAGACAGTGAAAGAAAAACTAATCCCACTGACAGACTCTAAACCTGACCTGAACAGTGACCCCAAACAGCAGCAGACCATGTAGAGAGAGATGGACAAGCTGGCAGGAAGCCTGAGCTCGCCAACATCGTCTCCTTTTCCAAGCATTCTTAAAGGCTGACAAAGCTTTCGAGATGCTGCGGAGATTTTGAGACCAGCAGCGCAGAATCGCCACCCCCACACATTGCTAAGAAGTATGGAAAAATGTTCTGTCCTGCAGCAAGAGAAAGTTTTTAACTTTGAGGATCCTGAACAATGCGAGGACCGAAAAGTCAGGAGCAGAACAGAAAAATGAGTCGAGGAAACAGGTTGATGGAGACAGTAGATTTTAATATATTGAGATGTTATATAACTGAACCATCATGAAAACAGATGACTGCAACAAACCTTTACAACTCAAAAAAATATATACATTTTCAATTCTAATTGGTATTAAACAAGACCACTCTCCAACCATCTGGATTATTTCCATTTGAAAATTTGATAATTCCCTAACTTAGTGTACATTTATGAACTTGTAAATTTGCACCAAGTTGGAAAAATCAACTTGAACGCCTTCTGAATTTGGGCTTCCCATTCAGAAAGTTTGAAAATGTTTCTAATGCCAGCTTTCAGAGCCAATATGGCTGCTTCTCGCATAGTAGTAGCAGCAGGTTTATTGTACAAGACACACTTGTAAGAGTGTGTCCAAAACTAATGTTTTATTTATAACCTGCCATTCATGTTTGCTTTTGGAAATTAAAGCTTAAAACGATGTTCATAAGTGGTATTGTGTGAATAATGGATACTCCGGCGTTGCCACATTGGAATCCCAACGTTTCCGACTATGTCAGCTTGAATGCTATTCTCAACTCAGAGTTTCGACTTTGAAGGTAAATTGAATGAAGTATTTAAGTGGCTCCATGTTTACAGCAGTATGAATATGTTTGAAGAAAGTAGAGGAGATGGAGATTTACTGTGTTTGAGTCGCGATCATTAACTTCCAAACTAACAGTGTGCAGTGAAAGAACGTAGAGTTTCTGTGAGTTACTCGAGTTTCAACCACAGTATCCCAATTAAGAGCTGCAAGACAGAGGAGGTTACATGGGTTGGGAAAAAAAAATTATGAACCCTCATGATATAAACGGAAAGATGTGAATAAATATAGTTTCAACAGAAAAAAGCAAATGCATGATTTGACTTTTATATTGACATTTCATGCATGATGCTGCAGCTACCTCATTGACTAATATGTAGTACTGTTTGGTTAGAAATTGTTTAATGTAGAAGCAAAAATATTGTATTCAAATAAATTTACAGAAATGTCAACATAAAAGACGCACAAATCAGTTTTCCTGCATACAATTCATAATTGAATATATATACATTTTATTTTTTTACATTAATTGACAGACAAATATTCAGACGGATAGAAAGTCTGTTGGAAGGATGAAAACAAATGAATGGATGTTTGAATGGGCAAATGTTTGGATGACAATCAGACGACCAGACAGACATTTGGTTGACTGGATAATGGTCAGACCAAGATTTACGATGGATAAACATAAACATATAGATGAACAAACGGATGGATGGCTGGATGAATTGATTGTTGAACAAAAACACTGAAACATACAGAAAAAAAAAAAAAAACTTTAAACTTTACAAATGAAGACACAAAGACAAAGCCAGAAAAATCAACTACAACCTAGAGGGATGTTTTTTTTTTCTAACTGCAGGGAAACAATGTAATTTTTTTATGGACAAAGTGTCATAAAAGAGCATAATTTTTCATAGTGATGAAACGACTGAAGTTATATATTAGGTGCAAATGCATTAATAATATAAAAAGCAGACTAGATGTAACTAAATGTGTCATCTTCAACAAATTGTTTAATGTCCCCTTAGACTTGCATGTCAACTTGTTTTGATTTGCAGTTCTTGTACTGTTCCATTTCTGCTGTTTTAATTTATTAACACTGCAATGCACATAGTCACATATTTGATAGAGCACAAATCTCCAGCTTCTTAACAAAAATAAATAAAACTTCAACACAAACCCTTGTTTTCAGTTGTCAATTGTGCATTTCGGCTCCTACAAAAGGTTATAAAACTTCAAAGTTGTCAGTACTAGAGGCAGATTATACTCCCACAGAGGTCGTTGGATCGAGAGGTCGTCCTTCCTAATTATCAACACAAACTTAGACTACATGCTAAGTGATGCGACTCAATCACAAGCCAGCTTTAGCAGCTAATTTATTGCCCTTCAAGCAGCAGGCAAACCGTACCAGCACACTGATGCAGGTGAACGTTCACACAGATGTGCATGGAACATGCTTATCTGTCAACCTACATCAGTGCAAAAGGAAGTGCAGTCTGTCGAGT